ATACAACAGGAACTCAGAAAATAATTTTATAAATTATCCTTTAAAAATCAAAAGAGAGGAGCTAGAGAGATAGCACAGCGGGTAGGGCGTTTGCCTTACACGCGGCCGACCTGGGTTCGATTCCCAGCGTCCCATATGGTCCCCTGAGCACCGCCAGGAGTAACTCCTGAGTGCAGAGCCAGGAGTAACCCCTGTGCATCGCCAGGTGTGACCCAAAAAGAAAAAAGAAAATCAAAAGAGAAATAGGGCTGAAGCAATAGTAGAGTGGATAGGGCTTGCCTTGCATGTGGTGGACCTGGATTCAATCTCAGCACCCCATTACAGTCCTCCTGATTCCTGAAGGGAGTGAAGTGATCCCTGAGCATAGGCCAGGAGTAAGCACTGAGCACTACTGGGGTGGTTCTCCCAAACCAAAAATAAATAGATAAAATAACAGAGAAGTAAAAGAAGAAAGCATTATCAAATGTCAATCCATTACTATAAAGAAAACAAGCTAGAACAAAAGGAAGAAAATCTTATAATATGTTCTAAAGAGCCACTGGATAAATCATCTGGCATGGGTGGGGAATGAAGGTGCTTCCAGACAAAGGGACTCTCCTATGAAACGGCCACAGGAAAAGACCATTTTAAAGAGGGAAGCAGAGAAAGGTAGCCTAGAAGCAAAGATCTGGAAATCTCCATGAATCCTGTATGCCAGGTTTAGGTTTTAGAAACAGAAGAGACAAAGGCATCAGCAGAACCCTCCTGCAGATCTTTCGGAAGAAAACTACCATGCTGGAGAGAGGCCCATATGGTAGGAATAGCTGGAGTTTCAGGCTCCTACTCATACAGCGGCCGGAAAATGAATTCTTCCAGGGAGAGGACACCACCCACACAGTGGAAAGCAAGGCACAGAATCTTCCAAAGAAGAGTATAGATCATCTCCCTGAGCAGACAAAAACACATAAACAACAGTCTGAGAGCAAGAGCCAAAGGAGGATGTCATAAATGCCAACTCAAGTTTGAAACCAAGAAAGTCAGGTAAGCCTGAAAGACAATATACTCCTGTGCCTGTCTTTTAAATATTATTTGGCACATATGCTGCACTATCACAGAACAATGTACGTCAACATAATGTAGAAAAATGGAGATGTGACTGTGACAGATCGGCAGGAAGTGTGGACATCCCTGGTAAATACTAAACTAGAAAGTAATCTCACTGCCTCTCTGGGTGTGGCTCAATGTAACCTATGGAGGGGGTTCTTGGGAGTCTATACTAATTATCTGCATTATTTATAGTTATAACAGGCACAAATGATATTTACTGGAAGAAAGGTGTGTGTGAAAGTTTTACAGGCAATAATGATAATGTATTGATTTCTTTTATTTCTGCTTCCTTCCCAACATCTTTTCCTTTGTAGAGGCTAATTTGAGAAAGTTGCTGTCACAAGACTCCAAAGACAAGTTGAGACAAAGGAGGAAGTTTCTTTCCTAGGAATTAAAGCAGAGAAACAAAGGACCAAGGCAGTTCAAAATGAGTCATCTTTTGTCAGCTCTAATACAGAAAACCCATGAGTTCCTCCCAGTAAATACCCAAGTCCCTGACCTAGGCCTGGTTATTCTGCAGTTCATTCAGTGGCCTTGCAGTGAATCAGCTTCTTCCTTTCTTCCTCTCTCCCTCCCTCTCCCCTCCTCTCTCCCTCCCTCCCTCCCTCCCTCCTCCCTTCCTCCCTTCCTTCCTTCCTTCCTTCCTTCCTTCCTTCCTTCCCTCCTTCTCTCCCTCCCTCCCTCTCTCCTTCCTTCCTTCCTTCCTTCCTCCTTCCTTCCTTCCTTCCTTCCCTCCTTCTCTCCCTCCTTCCCTCTCTCCTTCCTTCCTTCCTTCCTTCCTTCCTTCCTTCCTTCCTTCCTTCCTCCCTCCCTCCCTCCCTTCTTCCTTCTTCCCTCTCTCCTTCCTTCCTTCCTCCTTCCTCCCTTCTTCCTTCCTCCCTTCCCTCCTTTCCTATCTCTCTTCCTCTGTCCCTCACTCCCTCCCCTCCTTCCTTCAAACATTCACAATATTGTATCTAAGAAATTTTGACATGTTTTATCAGGACTCATACAGTATTTTCTCATATTTTGATAGCTTAAATATTCATATAAATCATTCTAAGAACTATTAAATTTGACCAAAACAAGGATCTATTTTGAAAAGCTTTTCTGTTTCATAACATAGACATAATAGTACAAGAATATGGTATACGGTTTTGCTGATGTACTTATGGTTGCTGTTGTTGCTAAGCAAAATACAGAAATAACCTTTAACTCTGCTACCACCAACTTCAATTCTGACCTAACCTTGGTCAAATATCTCCATCAGTGCCATATTTGGGGCTCTGGTAGAAAATGAAGTTTTAAAAAGAGAAAGATAGAGAGTAAAAGTAATAACTAGGGGAGGAACAAAGATAAGCAAGAAAAGGGAAGAAAAAAAATATCTGCGATATCAAAAATAGCATATACTTACCAGAAATGAGAGCCAAATTAGCACAGGAAAGGGAAACATTTCCTTTCTCCTATTTCACTTTACCATAAGCCCTTAGTGAGAAACAATATAAAATATGCAAACATATTTTATACCTCTACCTGATGGATAGATAAACACAGGTATATAGTAGAAAAATTCTGGGAAATCAACTAACATCTTTAAATAACTTATTTTTAAAATGATGAACTAGAACAATAACTAACATGATTGCTCGTGTTTTTCTCTAAATAGCAAAACAAAAACAAACTGTCCTCCCGTTGTTCATCGATTTTGCTCTAGTGGGCCCAGTAACATCTCCATTTTTTTTGAGACTTGTTGTTACTGTGTTTGGCATATTGAATACGTCGCGGGTAGCTTGCCAGGGTTTGTCACTACATTTATATGTGTTAAACACTGGGGCGATAGCACAGCGGTAGGACGTTTGCCTTGCACGCAGCCAACATGGCCAACTGGAGTTCAATTCCTCCGCCCCTCTCTGAGAGCCTGGCAAGCTACCGAGAGTTTCTCGCCCGCAAGGCCGAGCCTGGCAAGCTACCCGTGACACACTCGATATGCCAAATACAGTAACAACAAGTCTCATGATGGAGACGTTACTGGGCCCGCTGGAGCAAATCGATGAGCAATGGGAGGACCATGACCGTGACCAAACACTGAATTAATAACCAAATATTGGGCTTTATTTCTATCTCAAATTTAAAATCCTTTTAAGTAAAAAGATTCTGCATCTGTCTCAATCTTATCAGTTAACATTTTGATCCAAGTAAACTATTTAAAGAAAACTGTGTTATATGTTTTGGTTTTGGCCACACCTGGTGATGTCCTGGAGTTACTTCAAGCTCTGCACTCAGGAATCACTTGTTGGAAGTGCTCAAAGAAAGAACCATATGGGAGGAATTGAACCCAAGTCAGCCATGTTCAAGACAAACACCCTAGCCCTTGTACTACAAATATTGGGTTCTATTTCTATCTCAAACTTAAAATCTTAGTAAGTAAAAGGATTTTGCATCTATCTCAATCTCATAAACTGTCATTTCGTAAGTTTAATACAGGGTCAACTCTTATTATATGATAAACTTATAGAATGAATACATTCAATCAGTGTCAATATACACACACACATACAACACACACATAGACAATATTTAACTCTGCCTAGAGTCAATGAAAATGTAACAACTATAAAAATAAAGGTCTTCGCCAGGGATAATTCCTGAGCGCAGAGCCAGGAGTAACCCCTGTGCATTGCTGGGTATGACCCAAAAAGCAATAAATAAATAAATAAATAAATAAATAAAGGTCTTAGGAACAGCCAATGAAAATAGTAATTGCAGCTCTACAGGCACAGGTTACCAAGAACAAAATCATACAGTCCTAATTAGCAATATAAGTGATGAGTTAGTGCAGGTTGTGGATATACAGGCTCAATAAAAATGCTGAAGTCCTGCTACTGTATCTCTTTAATATAAGATCAACAAGTAAGGCTTTCGCCCTAAATTATCTCACATATCTTGATCAGCAAAGTAAGAAGTAGTGGACTGTTAGAAAATTACTATTTTACGCTCCTGAAATTGCTCTTTGAAAGTACCCATTGGAGCTTCAGGCAGCCCAAAAGTCATTTGTAATTCAGAATTTATCTCTTCCATATCATTTCCTGAGAATAAAATATAGCGCAAGTATTTTAATAAATCAGTATGTTCAACTTTAGAAAATGAGCAAATCGACTGATGACTAAGCGTACTAACAACATTGATATTAACTTATATATTTTTCAGAGTAAACTCAGCAGCCTGCCTTGAATCCAAGCAAGGGAACATAAGGAGCTGGTAATTCAAAGATAAAGTACAAAAACTTCACACCCACACCTCAGATCAGTGACACTGGGTGTCAAAAACCTCAGTACAAAATGATCTGAGAAATGCAATATTCAACAATCCTTTTATTTCAAGATTAGAAAAATGACATCTGCCTAGGGCTCTGCAAAAACCCTACAATCATTTGTGTGTCTATGTTGCGATAAGCAAGCCAAGGTCAAAGTCCAAGAAATTGCAAAAGGGAGGCAGGTAGCGGGGAGGGAGGGAGGGAGTGCAGGTCTGGGACCTGCAATTTACAAATGGAAGGCGGTGAAAGGAGCCTTCCCCCCCCCCCCCCCCCAAATCTTAATCCTGCAACGAGCTCTCTCGCGTGCGGTCCGATGGGGGAACAGCTGGATGCAAAGCCGTAGGTGTTCTGATTCTCCCAGGATAACTCCCTCAGCCCCAGTTTCTCGCCTCTAGGTCCTTGCCTCTCCCGGCAAACCCCACGCGATTCCCAAAGTCGGGCAGTTCTTGCCCTGCTGTGGTCCCTGCACGCAGCCCGGTTGCCCCGGTGCTGCTAAGGAGGCACTTCGGGGAAACTTTGCAAGCGGGCTGAGGTTCGTAGAGGGTGGCCACCCCACCTCCGGCGCTCCTGCTCCGCGGGAGCTCGGTCGGGGAAAGGCGGACGGGATGCCCGATTAACTCACAGTTGGCCTCGGAGACGACGATCACGAAGGCGAGGCAGGGCAGCAGCGCCCCGCAGCGCCCACCCGGGACCCTCATGGCGAAGCGGCTGGGAGCCGGAGCGCGGGCCGCGCGTGTGGGAGCCGCCAGCCCGGGCAGCCGCTCTCCAAGGACTGCTGCGCAACGGAGCAGGCGGGAGCGGCCCGAGCCGGGGGCGGAGGGGACTGCCCGCTCCCAGCCCCCAGCCCTGCAGGGGAAGTGATAATGAGGACATTTCCAGGAAGCTTTGCGGTGCGGGAGGCTGGGCTCTGACCGGTGGCGGAGGCCTAGTAGTAAACAGGGCAGAAACGCCCTTCCCAGCCCGTGCCCGCATGCCCGCAGCCCTTTCCTCTCACTCTCTCTCTCTCTCTCTCTCTCTCTCTGGGAAAAAAAAGCAGAGTTTCCCACGGGCAAGGGTGCATCTAGGGACCTGAGAACGTCGAGGACTCAGAGGCCAGGGTGTCAGTGAGCAAGCTTTAACGACTAGGCCATGGTGGGCATCAAACCTCTCTTGCTCCCCTTCCTGGGCTTCTCTCTGCCTTTTCCCTTCCCAAGACCCAAGAGTGGGTTTTCCTCTTTGTCGGGCTAATATTAAACCAAGAGTTTCAAAGAGACCAACGCAAACCATCAGGTCCTCCAGAGAGAGGGGAAAATGTCCCGAGGCTGCAGGGCAGGAATTATTTCAGAGATGTTCCAAGATGCAGACCACCGTCATGAACCCCGCTGATGGCCAGGTCACAGCCTCAACACTGCGATCCTCACCCTTCACTACCCCCTTTCTACTGCTCCCCATAATTTTGGCTATATATATTATATATATATATATATATATATATATATATATATATATCTCCTTTCAGAACCCCTAACCCCAGCCTGAAGGGTTGGCGGTAGGGCGTTGTAAATCTGACATCTCAGATTGTTCAGTACCTGAACTTGTTTTTCTTCCACCAGCACTTGTCTGTCAGATAATTGGCTTTTTGCCTGGCCAACCACCAGTGACAGCTTTGGAAGAGATGAGGCAGGTAGGAGGCTGTTGCAACCCAGATGGTTCAACCCTCTTGGTTCTCTATGTTAGGAGTGAGGCTCAGTCAACCACCATAGAGATTGGGAATGGTCGGCCCAAGACTGCTGCTTACTAGTGCTCAGCTAAGCCTGTAGGTGCAATTTTTTAGTATCCCAACACTTGTTGAGCCCTATTAGGAACCCTCCCTCTTTTTCCGGTCACTGCAGTTACCCAAAGAACTACATTACTAAAGGAAAAAAAACGACCTAAGTTGATTCACTCTAAACCTGGTAAGTCCCTGATGTGGAGAACCAGAAATCGTATCCTTACTATTTAGATTTTTTTTTTCTGTTTGTTTCGTTTTGGGGATCACACCTGGTCGTGCTCAAGAATTCTGCCTGACTTTGTGTTCAGGTTTCACTGTAGGTTTTGTGCCCAAGGATCACTCCTGGCAGTGCTCAGAGATTGGCAGCATGTAAGATAAGCATCTCTCTGGTTCATTTGAATTTTTCAGTCCTTTGAGACACTTCCATCATCAGATGAGAAAGATTTGGAGACCTGTATCTGACTCCTCTATAGGAGGATTGAATTTGAAAAAGCTCCATTTGGATTTGAATTTGGTTTTATTGGTTCTTTTTGCTAATGCTATTAACAGGGCAGCATTAAGTATCACTGTGTGTGTAAAGGCCCACTGGGGCATGTGATCTGATGTGATTATATGCAGTTATGAATCTATGATCAAAGAACAAATTTTTTTTTTTACTTCAATGCGAAATCTAAAAATTCACCAATAAAGTAAGGGACCTGGGAATCTCTCATCTGAGAAAACACCCTACTTAATTGGACAAACAGGGCCTGAAAACACTGCACCATTTATCTGAATGTGTAAGGGAAGAAATCAGTATAATCTTAAAAGAACACTTGGGGAATTTCTGTTTGTTTTTATGTTCATGTTTCTTCTGTACTTAGGTTTTGCCTTCAAATAGAATTATTAGAATAATTGTTCCAAACTTTTCGTAATCTGGGGTAATTTATGATAAATTTTAAAAATAATTTAAATAATTTTAAAGACAATTTAGAACATATATTTTTTGAATTTTAATACTGGGTATCATAACTATGTTGTTCTACCGTTGATAGTTTGGCCAGGAATTTGATCATGCAATCTCATGGAAGAAATAAATGGCTTTTTTTTACTAAAGTTAATAATAAAGTTTCAATCAATAGCTAAGTCACATTGCTAAAATAAATTTGGATTTACTTTTGAAATTGGGAATTAGATTTATAGTTAAAACATGCCTATGACATCTTAAGATCATATTATAAAAAAAATTCAGAAAATTATAAGAATTTATTTGCATTTTTCTGATCTAAAGCATGTGGTTATACCAACACTTTTTTACAATTGCTTAATTTTTGAATTTAAAAATTACAGGCTTGAATGTACACTTTATAAGAATTCTACTACAATTAATAAATATAAGAAAAACAACTCTGAATCTAGCACTAGTAAATATATGGTCTTGTTAGGAAAAGTATAAAGAATATAAATATTTTGTTTTTAAGAATGAAATAATTGTTTTGAGGCAAAACTGGCTATGTATGGAATGTAATGAATTCACATAGAACCGTATGTGAATGTAAAAGAAATAAACATAGGTTTTATAAGAAAAAAATCTAAAGAAAAGCCACACTATTGGTCAAACTGGATAGTATTTACTAAATTGTATCACCTACTTTAAGTTATAATATCTATAATATAACTCTTGTGAAACTAGATTGTCATTTCTTTGGGCAGCCTGGGGAGGAGTGAGAAGGCATGGGAGGGGGGTGGGTCACAGGATGGGAGAGGTTTGGGTCATACCCAGATGGGCTCAGGACCCTCTCCTAGATCTGTGCTCAGTGATCACTTCTTACACCGATTCAAGAATCTCTCCTGGCTGTGTTCAGGGTTTATTCAGTGCTGAGTATTAAAAGCAGAATCAGCTGCATTCAAAGCAAGCACCTAAACCCCTGCATTATCTTTCATTTCTTTTCTTTTTATTATTTTGCTGAAAAAGTTTATTGCTCCTACCACAGCCCCCTATAGGGGCACAGCCATCAGGGAAATGACATGAACAGTTCCTGCCCTGCAGCATTCTGGGGCCAAGACGGCTTGGTCCACAGCAGCTGCTGCTGAAGTCAAGTCCATGTAGAGAGCAGAGTCTTGCCGGAAGGTCAGCCACTTTGTACAGGAAGAAGATGCTCTATGTGTCCTCAGATATGAGGGCCACCAGGAAAGTTGAATTTCACGATCATCATTCTTAACCCTTTTTGAAACTGAGACAAATTTGAATGCCATGGTGGTCTTGCTTTGGTGCCATTTTCAGCCACATCTTGTATGACGTTGTATACCACCCAGGAGACAAGTATTAAATATGGAAAGCTTAATGAATTTGTGTGTTATCCTGCTGAAGGGCCATGCTTGTCTTCTCTGTATCATTCCAGTTTTAGTATATGTGCTGTTGGAATGAACATTACCTTTCATTTCTTATATCTAAAACAGGACAAAAGTTTTCTTTTTTTTTTTATTAGTGAGACGCCATGAGGTAGTAATAGACTTACAAATTTTGTGCTTGGGTTTCAGTTATACAATGATCAAGTATCCATCCCTCCACTAGAGCCTATCCTCCACCACCACGGGTCCCAGCCTCCCTCCCACCCCCCATCCCTCCATCCCACCCTGCCTCTGTGGCAGGGCATTCCCTTTTGCTCTCTCTCCTAGGACAAAAGTTTTCTTGACTGTGATCCATTCTTAATAACATATTATGAATTATCTAAGTAATTTTCCTAGAAAACAAAGATATCCTGTGTTATCAGAAAAAATTCATTTTCCCAAGTAAGCCTACTATTATTATTAGGAGAATTGATTTTTTTATAAGCATGGAAAGCTTTTAAATCGCCTTTGAAATCTTTGCCACATTTGTTGAATGGATAACTTAGATTTTTTTCGAAAATGATCTATATAAGTATGTTATCTTTTAATATCTATGACAAGGCATAGGTATCAAAATTCTAAGAAAAAGGCTAGAGATATAGTACAGAGGGCAAGGTGCTTGCCTTCCATGTGACTAATACAGTTTCAATCCCTGCAATTCCATATGGCCCCAGGCCCTGCTAGGAATGAACCCTCAACAAAGAGCCAGCAAAGAGCCAGGAATAAGCCCCACGCACTCCCAGGTGAGGTCCCCAAATAAACAAACAAATTCTAAGAATGAGGTCTTAGAGGAAAAATGTGGGAAATTGTAGAACTCTAAGCTCTTAAGAAACCCAGAGGCTGGAGCCACAGCAGGCAGGGCATTTGCCTTGCACGGGGCTGACCCAGGTTCAATTCCCAGCATCCCGTATGGTCCCCCAAGCACTACCAGGAGTAATTCCTGAGTGCATGAACCAGGAATAACGCCTGTGCATCGGCGGGTGTGACCCCCCCCTCAAAAATAAATAAAAGCCATAATATTTTTCTTTCCTTTATGGAGAACTACATAAATATTAGTCCAATTTAATAAAGTGAAATGTCAGGGAATATTGGCAATAAAGAAATGCATTTAACTATCATATATGTGTGAATATTAATGAGCATTCAAAAATATGTGAAACCTGCTAAGAGTCTATTAATATGTCCTGATTAGTTGTGGCTATTATTCTAAAGTACTGGGTGCTTCAAAAGAAAAGAAAAACATAAGAACTGGTTTTCAATAAACAGCTTGCCAACTGGGAAGGTGGACCAGGAGAGCAATGGTACAACAATGGGGGAGGGAAGTGGTCACTCTGGAGGAGGGAAAATTGCTGGAAGGTGGTAAAGTGCCATGCACAAACCTTATCAGTAATAGTATCATAAACCACACTGTCTAAAACATTTTTAAAAAGTTGGGTCATAGAGGCAGGCTGAGGAATGGGAGGGAAACTGGGAACATTGGTGGAGGAAAGTGGACACCAGTGGAGGGATTAGTGTTGGAGCATTGTAGGCCTGAAACTCAATCATGAGTAACTTTGCAAATCATGGTGCCTCAATTAGAAAATTGAAAATTAAAAAAAATCATGTTGTGTGCCTCAAATTGTACAAATGTCTTTGTTAATTGCACTTCAATAAAATTTAAATTTTGATGACTTTAGAACTTTTTTTGCCATTTACAGAAGTTATTTGTTTACTATTCAGAATAATTCTTAGAATTAAAAAAAAGCATAAGAATCCAGGTTTATTATGGAACTAAGACAGGAGATTGAAGTGTAAAAAAAAATGAAGTACAGGGAGGGAAATAACATAGAAGGAAAGAAATCTGGCGTAGGGGACATAGTAAGAAGAGGCAGACAGAAAGCAATGGGAGACAAGGGTCAATTTACATGAAAAAATGCTCATAATCACTCGTGACTCCAGAAATCTAAATCAAGACAACAAGTATATATCATCTCACACCAGTGAGAGTGGCACATATCAAAAATACCAGAAACAATCTGTACTGGAGGGAATATGGTGAGAAAGGAATTCTCATCCACTGCTGATAGGAATGTAACCTGGTTCAAACCCTGAGGAAAATAGTATGGAGAGTTCTCAGTAACTAAGAGCTGTCATATGACCTGACAGTTCCGCTATAGGTACATATCCCCAGGACATGCATTCATATTGACCTTTGCATTCCAATATTCACTGCAGCACTTAGTACAATAGCTAAGAGATGAAATCAACCTAGGTGGCCAAAACAGATGGATTATGAATATGGGGTGTATACATACACAATGGAATATATGCAGTTTTAATGAAAGATGAAATAATGCAATGTGCTACAATTTGGATGGAACGGGAAGATATCATGTTAAGTGAAGTAATCCAGAAGAAGGATAAATAAAGGATAATCTCACTTTTCTGTGGTATATAGAATAACAGGATGAAGAAATGCAATAACATCAAAGAGGGTTTCCTAGATCATCCTTGACTTCAAAGTATAAGGGGGGAAAGAGACCTGGTAGAGAAGGTGTTGGGATCGGGAGTTCCCTAGCCCTGGGAGGCAAGGAGAGAACAGATAGACACAATTCCTGCAGGAGTAAAACGAGGTTTATTTAGACCAGCGTGCTGGGGCTCCACAGCATACCCCAGAGTGGGCAGTGGCTGAGAGCCCCGAGCTTCTTCAAAGGGGATCTTATATAGGCCTTCACTGGCTGTTACAGCAAGGCCCGCACATTTCATAGCCAATAGATTTGTAACAACATATACTTTCTTTACCAATCCATTTAAAAGTACCTCACTCCTTAGCCTGTAGATTCAAAGATCAGCATTTATGTACATCGTACATCGATTGTCAGCACAAGCAAGGTTATAGCCGGAATCATTAAGCCTTAGGTAATCTCCCTTGACCATCCACATTTTGAGTTACCCAAGTCTGCAGGGTGCTTTAGTGAGACAATACACTCCAGGAAAGGGCAATTTCCCCTAGCCACTGCATCCTGAGTTATCCTTTACCCAAATCTGCAGGGTGCTTTACTGAGACAATACATTTCAGGAACAGTAAATACACCTGAATCCTGTCACACTTGGTTTAGAAAGAAGTTATGCCCTGTTCACATTCCAAGTCCCTTCTCCCCCAGGTACAAAGCAGCCAAGCAGTTTTACAGAAAGCAATGTTGCAAGTTAGCTGAAGCACGCAAAAATTTGATGCCCTAATATGGATTCTTTCAAAGGAAACCCAGGGTCAAATTAAGAAGAGGCAGATAGGAAACAATAGAAGAGTAGGGGCCAAGGGTCTCAGGTACGTTGGTGATGCAAAGGAGTGGGATAGCTATATATCCAAACCAGAGAGTCAACAACACCGAAAGCATTTAAACTGCAAACTTTCAAAAGTCTCAGTCAAGGTTAGAAGCTAGGGAAGGATGATGGGGGAGGGTAATCACCTAGGAATACTGGTGAAGGGAAATTGATACAGATTGGATTGCTGCAAAATGTTGCACATCTAAAACTCAACCATCAGTAACTTTGTAAATCACAAAGCACAGGGCTTACTCCTGGTTTTGCACTTAGGAATCACTCCTGGCAGGTCTCAGAGGATCTTATGAGCAACAGGGAATCAACTCAGGTGGGCTGCACTCTAGGTAAGTGCTTCATCTGCTATACTATCACTCTGGTGGCCCAGATTACAAATATCTAATAAAAAAACCTTCTAAAAAGAAAGAAATGCAGATATTGTAAGGGGTGTCTAAAGATGGCTCCTGGGAAAGACAAATGACTCCTTAGCCCTGAAATATTAAAATTTCAACAAAGCACAGTGAAAGAATTTATATGGTTTTCTCTGTACTAGCTGTGTTTACATAGCATAACTAACCATGTTTATAAGAAGTAAATTTGATTAACAAATAGGTTATTTTTACAATATTTGACACACTTTGGAGGAAAGAGTAATGAAAATTAACAATTTTCTGTAATTATATTTTATAGGCCTCAGATAATTACTCTCTTAATAATTTTTGTAGATTATTTTAACCCATAAACCAGAATGGATACCAGATTTTTTCTAGTGTATTGACTTATTTTCTTAATTGAGTCACAATTACAAAGATACACAGTTACAAAGTTGTTCAGGATTAGGTTTCAGTCATACAATGTTCCAACACCCATCCCTTCATCAGTGTATATTTACCGCCATCAAAGTCCCCAGTTTCTCGCCCTCTTCCCACCTGCTCACCTCTATGGATACCAAATTTGCCTGACACTTGATATATATGATTTCCTAAGATTCAATATTAATGTTTTTCCTTTTTGTCTTACACCGATTAAGAGAAAAACTTCATTTTTGAAAACTGTGCAAGCTGGAAAATGGAGAACTTGGTGTAAATCTCAAAATGATCATCTAAATGATGTGTCTGGACAAATGTCCTTAAGATTTTAAAAACTGATTATGGGAATTGAAACTGGGTAAAAAGAATTAGGAGAAGAAATCAACATGGGCAGTTAAATAAGCACAGAGGAGCACCTGTCTGCAGTAAACACATGACATTACATGACACCATTACTTGCAGGTTCATGGATCTGGTTTACAAACCAGGTTTTTAAAATACCAGCTGGAATCTAGTCCATAATGGAATAACATTAAAGTTTGCCTGTTTATTTTATTAAGAACCATCCTAACTGACATTGGGAAAACTGGTGGGTCCTATACAAAAATTAATTAATTAACTAAAAATCACTGTATCACTGTCACTGTCATCCTGTTGTTCATCGATTTCCTCGAGTAACGTCTCCTTCGTCCTAGCCCTGAGATTTTAGAAAGTGCCACAGTCGAGGCTCTTTCTGGGTCAGGAGAATGAGACCCATCATTGTTACTGGTTTTGGGCACATTGAATTCACCACAGGGAGTTTTCCAGACTCTGCTGTGTAGGCAGGATACTTTTGGTAGCCTGCCAGGTTCTTCAGAGTAAGAACCAGATAATAAGATGTCCCAGCTTCCGGGAGCTGGGTTTTATAGTCTCTGGGTCTTGGCCGTTGATGGG